AGAAAGAATATAAGGTGATTAGATCTTGGTGCATAACATCTGGGATTGTAACAACTGACTGCAGTCCCAAAAATGAGAACAGTGGGAGATACTGCTAAAATATTTATAAACAAGTCTTATGTTTATAACCTGGCTTGTTCAAAGGGGTTGGAAATACCAGGTGAAACTGCAGGAAATCTATTTGTCTTCCAGGTTCTTCTGTTTCACTTTCGTAACTGCCCTATAATGCTCTTGAAGTTTCCTAAGATTATTTAGGACTTTAAAAACCTTTTGTTTTGATTTTTTTTTTTAATGTCAAAATACTTCAGAACTTGTTTGCAGCTCTAAGAAGCTGATACATTTATGTGTTTGGATATAGTTCTTTATTAAATATCTGGCTAAGTCTTACTTTAGACAGTTGGAGTTGGATCAGGACCTTCATATTATGCTGACTTTCCTAAGTAACAGTTTTAAAACCTGCAGAACATGAGGGCACACTAGAATTCGTTATTGTTTATAACATACATTTAATCTGATCTTATATCTGAGTGAATCACACTGAAATGTTTAAAGTATATTCTGCTTGCTAGGACAGTAGTAATGTGGGGGAAGGCTAAAAGGTGCTTTACACGGCAACTGCTTTTTCTTCTACTTGTTTAACCCTGCAGGAAAATCAACTGCGTGATAAAGAGGAGTTTTCTCTATGTTGGACAGGCACCATCTTTGCTCTGTTTACATAGGGTCTGCAGCAATGATCTCCTGCAATAAACACAGATGATTATTGAAGTGGAAAAATGTGTTTGGATGTGAGCCAAAAGTACCACCTTCACTTGTCTTAGCTACATTAACAAGCCAGTTAAATCTGTTAACATCTCTAGGAAGATGTTATTGCATCAGATGAAGATTTCTGTACAGATAAGAGAAAACATTTGCCTACAAGTAAAAAAAAAGAAGGGATTTCTGTTGAATAGGTCTCTCAATTAAGTTTGTATTAATTTTCGAAGGCAATAACCTGTAGGTTCATCCTCTGCCTGGCATACTTCAGGTGCTTCCTTGTTTCGCCTACTAGAATGCTGTCCGACATACAAGGTGACAAAGCATGTACCCATGTGAGTGAACAACCTCAGTTCCTAAATGTCCTCAAACTGGCCACACTGGGAACTGGATGCTGTCCTTAAAAATATACTGGTATGATTAGAAGTTGATGGAACTGAAAGACACAGATGTAGTGGTCTTGTGGGGTCTAGCTTCCCTACTGTGGTATGATGGGTCCTAAAGAAATTATTAATAAACAGGTCCCATCGTTAGCTTTCACCAGCAACAATGGTGCTACATTTTTACCCTCTTGCAATGTTAAGTAGCTTAGGCTTGTTACCGAGGCAACCTTTCATAGCATCCTTCTGCTTAAATTAGGGGGCTACAAGCACTGAAATATTCTTTTGAATAAGGGATATATACCTAGATTCTTCTTTTATTGTGAAATAACAAACCGTGCCTTTAATATAGGGCTGAGTATTAAAAAATGGGTTTGCAGTTGCTCTGTATTAGCACAAAGCTGTTTCTGAGGTCCTGCTATTTGGGATTTTGCAGATAGAAACAGACAGTATTAGAGCAATAATATACATAATTCATGACTCAACAAACATGTTTAGGAAATGGAACTTGTGTCAGTTTTTTCAAGTTAGGGAATATCTAATTAAGATAGAGGGAACTGAAACAAAACATTATGTTTGACTTTTAATGTGGTAACTTTGTTGTAGCTAAAACTAATGTTAATATAGACTGCAACCAGCTGCGGAGGATTGAACCAAATAGCTTGTGTACTGTTTGAGTTTGTTCAGTGGGCTGTGATAATTTGCACAGTTAATGGATTACTGTTGGTCTAGCTGTGCCCTCTTAATGCTAGCCTTCTGGTTCATGTCCAAAGGTTCAGTGGGTCCATAACAGACATGTACAATGGCCACTGCTGGATTATCTAACTCTCTCAATACTCCTAGAAGTTTTTCAAGCAGCTCCACAAAATAACTTAGTACATTATTTGTTGTACAGACAAAGTGTGCTTAAGCTATACA